GCGTAACTTTCGGAGCTACAGTCACTATCCTGCAGACTCTCTTAATGAACCATACGATTTGTTTAGCATTATGCATTACGATAACAAAGCATTCTCTAGCAACGGCCAGGATACCATGCAGTCAAGAAGAAATCCATATTTAAGATTTGGAAAACTCAGGTCTCTCAGTCGAGTTGACATTAAACAGCTAACGAAGCTATACAGCTGCCCCTCTCACGCGAGTCGACACAGTGGTATGAAATACTTATCTTAAACTCATTAATAATTCATGAGTAAATTAGCCAACCGTATTGCTTTATTTTGCTCACACGATAATACTGGATACCTGATGAAGTATATTGATCCAGTCCTAGGACTGGATCAAAATTAATCAAGTGGTGATTTATTCGTATGAGATGTCATTCAAATCCTCCAATTAGGACTGGACCAGATTTCAAGTCCTCTCATTTTGATCCAGTCCTCGGCTTCGCCACGGACTTGATCAAATTTCGCGGACTTAAAATCTAGTCCAGTCCTCATAGTCGGATTTGAAATATTACGTCTAAGAATTGTCGAACAACACCAACATCGCACCTATTTTCTCACACAATGTATTAAAGGAAATGGCTACAAAAGTTATGTTTGCCTAATTTGAAAGCATGTTAATATAAGTTGCAAACACGTTTTACAGATTCTCCTAAACTAGCCTTAATTTTTGAGATATTTTGAACCAAAACATTCTGCCATCTGTCATTTTGTTTTATAATTAGATATATTTAAATGACGTCACAACCAGTCCAATGTAGACGTTTTAAAATTAAAAAAACTTAATATCAGTGGAAAGCTTACACATAGCTTGTGCTTTAATTTAAAACTGACAACAGTGAAAAATAAGATTTAGCCCTAAAATGACCCGAGAATATACCTTAGAAGTGCTTACGTCACACAGTGCATTAGCCATTCCGAAGTTGATGAGTGGACTGGGGACAAGTGTTAGAAAGTGCCTAAATTAAGAAATGAAGTAAATCATTAAAAATACCACCTCAAAATCAGTAAGTATACAAAGTTTGAAGACGTTTACATGAATACCCTTCGAATAATAAGCTTTCGAAAATTATGAAATTACTGATTAAAAGATTGTTTTTGGGACGCGCGTCCCCAAAACAAAAATTGCAATACATTTCATAGTAAATATCGGATTTTCGAAAGCTTATTATTCGAAGGATATTCATGTAAACGTCTTCAAACTTTGTATACTTACTAATTTTGAGGTGGTCTTTTTAGTGATTTGGTTCATTTCTTAATTTGGGCACTTTTTAACACTCGTCCCCAGTCCACTCATCAACTTCGGAATTGCTAATTGTGGGATACTTTTGGGTCAATAATTCATTGTTTGAAAATTACGTGACGTAAGCACTTCTACCCTGGTCGTGACGTCGATTACCTCTATATTCATGTATATGGTGTTCTGTTAAATTGCTTTGTGTTTAGTCCACGCATAGACAAAGTCAACCTCGCAAGCAAGGCTCTCTACTTCTGCTTTTGGAAAGTGGAGAGCCTGGCTTGGGAGGTTGGGACAAAATTGGACATTATACTGTAGTACAATCTCGTTCCCCGAGCCTGCGATCCTCGGGAAGGAGCGCGAGGCTCTGGGATAATCCGTTGCCGGAAGCCAGGAATCCTGGCTAAGATTGAACTGCGCATTCCATATCAACGGCCAATCAGATTCCTTCCTGAAACGGATTATCCCAGAGCCTCGCGTTCCTTCCCGAGGATCGCAGGCTCGGGGAACGAGATTGACTGTAGTACTGATGGGAAGTTAGGGGATTGGTCGGCAGGAGCGTGCAGGATGTTAGAATTTATATCACGGATAATATATTTTTATTTCAGATTATTTGATTTAAAATACTCATTTAGTGTAACGACTGATTTAACTCGTGATAGCCATTCTCATGTATAAATGTCAATTTGTAATTTCTTTTATCGTTAGGTTTATGCTACAACAGATTTTCAAGATGCAACAGCTATGCAGCGAGAACTGATCTCTGTGAGATAAGTTACGATTTTATGAAGATCTACTGCCCTAAAGCATGTGCTTTTTGTTGTAAGTATATAATCACGGACACATACCTTACTCTTAAGCGGACACATACCTCAGGTCCCAATGATTGCTTTAATAAAATACTATTATCATTACCCCTATTCACCAAGGGCCTTTTTAAAGAATTCATCAGTGTGTGTTGGGAGGGGTCTAAAATGTTTGTATTTTTCCACCCCTAGGACTGCACTAGATATCGACTGAATCTTCAGTCAAGTACTTGCATGGTATGTTTGTATAAATACCCCAACTCTGTCAATAACTTGTTTAGCCTAAGGGCCTTCCAACAACTAAAATCTATACGGTCTGAGTAACCTGCGTAGCAGGCGCTATTTAGGGGGGAGGGCGAGGGCGGGAAAAGCTAGGGGGGAATGCGAAGGCGAGAGAAAGAGAGCGAGGAAAATCGCCCTCCCCCCCTCCCCTAAATAGCGCCTGCTACGCAGGCTACGGTCTGAGATAAGCTATCAACTGCGAAACTTTTAAAGTCTATTTACAACACAATGTTTAGTTAGCATGTTTAAAAAGATATTGAATCATTTGATGATAAAAGATATGACATACAGTAAGATTCACAAAGCAAATTTCAGTTGCCATGTTAAAAAAGGCCCTGTATTCAGCGGACACCTCTATTAATTAACTTGAGGTTCCAATTAACCTCTCTTAGGCGTACAAACGTAACTGATGAATGTAATTTCCAAACAAATTTTGAAGAAAATTCACTGGACACATATTTGTTATTAATGTCTTGCGGTATTTCTGTGCAGTATAAACGCCAATAATTTGAGCTAATTTCTTCAATTTGTCATTCAACCAATTGCAAAAATTGTCTCCTCGAATCCCCTCCGTCGAGACGTTTACTTTTGATCACTACTGTTCCTAAATTAGTTGCGCGTTACCTTCTGCTGTGTTCATTGTTGCAAACCCCTATTAAGCGGACACATTGGTGAGGTCCCGAAGGTGTCCGCTTAAGGTTACAGGAGACCCTACGCGCAGGTTTCGGGAGATTTACCATTACTCGGCGAATTTTTATCCAATTTCTCTCAAATTTTCTCCAAATATAGTCCGATAGATGAAAAAAAACATAGGGTTATAAAATATATCAGAAAGAAATAACTTTCCCGAATATTGTTACAAGTTTAAGTTTATGGGACCTTCGCGCGGCGAGCTACGTTAGATGTAGGTTTCACTAAAATCCTGTCAATCTATCATTTTTACTCTTCTCGAGTATTGCACTAAAAAAGGGTGTTCGCATTTTATCGTTGCTTCAGGGGTTACATAGCTAAGACATGTTCTTTCCCGACCTGTGTTATATTGCAACGAATGCACGAAAAAGGTCTGTAATTTTGCAACTAAAGGCTTGTAAAACTCGCGCGAACACCCTTTTGTAGCCAAGACATACACCTACAGTGTGTGCAAATTTCAGAACGATTGGTTAAAACGCACGACTAACCAAGCTTTTTTAGTGCGTGTTTACGACTCAAAATTAATGTATCTGATAATTGACTTTAAACATTTCGCGGGGTTTTTTGAAGTTCTGTCTATTTTTCCCCACTAATTAATTCAATTGTTGTTAACCAATTACAACGCGTGTGGCAAGTGATGTTCCGTATAAATTATGGCAAGCGATGTATTTTATGTAAACTTCCGTATAAATTATACTGTAAAACATTTGTCAAGCAAGTCACAGAAGTCACTATAAAACTACTAGTCATGCCTCCAAAGCGAAAACGCAAGGCTGAGCCTGTGTCCATAAATAAAGATAAACCCGCGACGAAAAAGCGACGAAAGACCAGGAAGAAATGCCCTTCAAAAGTAGATAGTTTTACTGAAGCAGATCGTGATGTGGACTACAAACAAATATTGCTCTCAACGATGAGAGATGAAGGGTATGTTGTTTCGCTTTGTTCTTTTCTTGTTCGATTTGAACATAATATTTTTAGCAGTTCCGAGTTCGTTTACATACACAGCATTTAATACAGCAACATATTTTTTACTAGTTATGACGGAACACATTTCTTCAGTCAACTTGAAATTGGCGTCGAAGATCGACTCAAGAAGCGGGGTAAACCTCCTAGAATGGCACGATATTTCTTCTATTGTGGATGGGCACACGCACTGATTGTAAGTATTAAAGAAGATTTCATAGTTGAATCTTTAGTTACCAAGCGTGCATGGTCTTCACGCAACAAAATTTTTGCTTGATTCTAGAAAAATGGAGTTGGTCCTGATAATAGCGAATATGCTTTTCCAAGAGAAGTCCTACAATTCCTGAGATACATCGCACCAGGTGATATCAAGGGAGAGATAAGAGAAGTGAGTTTTTCTGACTTTTGTTTCCAGTTTGGGTTGGAAAAGTTGCCAATATTTATGCATGCATGGGCCATCAACCATGTCTTTTACACAAAATATTATAAAATGCTTATACCTATCTCTTTCCCAATTTTTATATTAACATTTATACATGGAGACTTGGTCTGAAAATATGAATGACATGAATATGTTTACACTTTTCAAAATTAATGTTTTTTTACAAAAGAACATAGTGTTTGCAATTCATAATTATTGATATTGTATATACAACTTTGACAGTAGAATTGACTTCATTAATAGATATATAATAAAAATATCTTTATACATTGTACCCCTTCTTTATATTTTGATTTGTATTCTTTATATAGGATGCATACACTGATCAGATGGATGACTTTTGTGAAACCTTGAAACTTCCAAAGTTGTGACTGTATATATATGTATATATATATATGCCTACTAAGAACAATTCTGTGACTGTTGGAATGTACTTGTCATAAGACACCTCCACCCATGGAGACATGGAGCATATATGAGGGATGGGTGGTGATTTACTTGTCAAGCTTCCCCCCATTTCCCCTGTATCTTGATCAGTTTTTACTCGATTAATACCAAACTTCAGGATTTTGTATAGGTTGATTGTGCTCTTTCTGATTATGTGGGTTTTATGTCGATAATCATAATATTTAGGGACTCATACCCAGTCACCCTCGGCTTGAAACTTGGCAATGGGGTGGGACATTTTCCACTTTTTTCTCTCAAAGGGTCCAATGCCTCATGTTTTCCCTGGGGGGCGGTTCCAATGACAAGTGCATAACATAAATACAAGTAGACCCCTTATTAAACATAAATGTATATTCAACATTTTGTTATGTAACATGGGCTTAGGCCGAAAACTAGACTGTACTGTAAATGATTAATATGCTCCATCTGTTGAACAGCAGTATCTTAGTAGGAGTAGATTCCCAACAATACTATTAGGGATTGACCATGATTAATATGCTCCATCTGTTGAACAGCAGTATCTTAGTAGGAGTAGATTCATGATCATTTACAAAACAGCTATTACTTTCCTTTGTTAGTCTTCTTGCTCTTTCCTTTTCTATTTCCTTTTGCTTTACCTGTTACTTTGTGGTTTCCAGCAGGTTTGTCTTTATTGGAGGTATAGAATGCCTGAGACTTGTACTGTAACCCTTCTTTGTGGAGAAAAGCATCAGCTTTCTTTGATTTTATTCTCTTATATTGTTTCCTTCTTTCTTTCACCTCACTCCTTTCCTTGTACTCCCCACCATACATTCTTTTCCTATCAATTTTACTCCATGCCTCTTTCATGTGGTTGGTTACCGTGACACCAATTTTAGGTAGAAGCTGGGAATAGGTAACCTCCATCCCACAGTTGAAAATTAAAACTCCAAGGTTGACACTTAGGCTACTTTCAACTTGTGAGGCATGCTGATCCTTTGGTGCAAATCCCCAAATTACATGATGCAAGCTTTCATTGGCATTCTGTGTTGCACATCTCTCACATCCACCAAGGAACTTTTCATCACCTAGCTTATCAAAATCTGGCTTTATAACTTCAACAACAGCTGGAGGGATAGGATCCTTGATGCATCGGTG